CTGGCCCTCGTGGTCGGGATGCTCGTCGGGCCCAGGATGGGCCCTTAAGGCCGCCCCGTGCGTCCCCGTACCAGGGGGTTGGGATAGGAAGGTCAGAGGAATTACTAATGGAGGACGCGTGACGAATTGGCTGCCCTGGTTAGGGGTAGCACGTGCGGAAGACGAACTGGCTGCCCGCCTTAGGGGTAGCACGCGGGGAGGGCTGCCAATGCATGCCAACGCATGCCAATGCATGCCAACGCATGCCAATGCATGCCGATGCATGCCCATGCATGCCAACGCATGCCCATGCATGCCAAGGCATGCCAATGTATGCCACTGCGGATGATGAGGAGGAGGGATGGGAGGAGGATGGGGAGGGGAGGCGGAGGAGGATGGGGAGGGGAGGAGGAGGAAGTGGAGGAGAATGGGGAGCAGCAGCAGGAGGAGAAGGCTGAGGCGAGTGATGAGGGATACGGGACTTCTGCTCTCGAACACGTTCAGCTTCAAGAAATAATGAGCCTCCCAGCTGATCTCCACGAGTTGTGACTCTTTGATTGTTCAGCGTCTCAATTCATGGATCGACGAGCACGCTGCCGTGCCGTAGTGCTGCTGGGCTGGAGCCTGGCCGTTCACGTAATCATTGGACGTCGCGCACGCTTTGCACCTCGTTATTTTGAGAGGCCTCGGCAACCGCAGCTAGTCGGCGCTTGCCTAGACTAGTTTCAAAGCTTATTCCAGTTCTCTTCCAGTAGTGATGGTATTGCAGTGGTGCAGTGGTGCGTATCTCAAGGCATGACCTTGGAGCTTGCGACAACAGTGGCTCGCCATCGATTGCTCTTGATCGTGAGATTGCGCGTTGGTGGTGTCGACGCGGAGCTTGGTAGACGATCGCGGCGGAGTCGGACGGGGAGCAGGATGACTGGCGCCCTGGGCCGTGTCCTGGTTGAGCCGACGCTCGGGACGATGTCTGATGTCTGCTAGCAGCGGGGCTTCCATTGAGTCCAGGCCCAACACCTTGCTGTTGCCACATATGTCGACAACATGTCCGTCATGGTGGCCATCGTCGAGGCCGACGGGTTAGAGTGGGTGGGGGGGGCCGTGTCGTTGGTCCTTGTTGGGTGTGTCGCCCGCCCACCATGGTGCGCAACATTGCAACCCCTCTTCTTTTTCGACCAGTCCCCAAACTCGTTTTTCACCTTCTCTCGCACCTCCTTTCTCCTTCCTGACCGCCACTCGTCTTCCTCTTTATGGGCAGTGGACCCCTTCTCATGCCCTCCCCTTCCTCTCTCTTTCTCTCTCCCCCTCCTCCCCCCTCCTCGCTCCTCTTTCCGTGCCTTCGCCATCTGCCCCCCCCCTCCCGGTCCTCCTGGCTCCGCTCCCGAGAGCCTCTCCCGCGCGAGATCCCGTGGTGGTCCTCCCTGCGCGCCCGAGCCGTCCGCAGGGCTCCCCTCTATCACGGTGCCCCTCTCCATTTGCTGACGGCGGGCCGCCACCCCGTTCCGCGTGGTGCGCACAAGCGGCTGCTGACTTCCAGCTCGACCGATGGACAGACTGCTTTGCCCAACTAAGGCACACCTGGTCCTCTTTTGGCTACTGCCTCGCTCGCCAATGCTATCCGCGACTGTTCTTCTGTTGTATTCCGTTCGCAGAGAGGACACATGCAGGGTTCCCCACTCCGAAGGGCGGAGCCCAGTCTTACAGGAGGGAGAGAAGAGGCTTCTCCGACGGGAGCAGCCGTCCTGCCTCCGGCTGTGTCCACGTTCTGTGGTGCCTTTGGCCGCGGGGGCCTGCTGTCGGAGTCCAGCGGCATGCACCCATACGCTTTCACTCTTGCGCGGAGGTCGGGTGACGCGAGGATGGCGAGCATGGTTGGGGGTGATCGAAGGATGACGACAGGGGACTTGCGGGCGCAGACTGCGAGGACGGCGAGGTCGGACGGTCCTCCTCCTCCTTCTCCTCCTCCTCCCTCCTCCTTCTCCTCCTCCTCTTCCTCCTCCCAGGCGTGTTGTGGAGGCCAGGAGGGTCAAAACAGCTCTCGCCAGCCTGACCCGCGTGCTCGAAGACAGGCGACGGAACCGTTGCGAGAGCTCTCCTTTAGGGCTGTATTAAAGCGTGATTCTGAATCTTGAGTTGTTCTGGAAGGGATGGAACGGGGGATCATCTCCTTTTTTCACAAGGCAGGTGATTTTTCGATGGGGTCTCACTACGGAGCCGTCGCCGTCTGGCCTTGCCCGCCCAACTGCCCGCCCTTTTCTCTTGGCTCCTAATTCACTGGCTTCTTCGGTACCTCCTGCGTGCGCGGCTCCTCCTGCGCCTTCTCCTCAGCCTCCCCTTGCGTCCCCTGACGCCTCTCTCCCTCATCTCTCCGTCTTCTTCTCTTTTGCGCACCTTTCGTCCTGCTCATCTGATCTGCCCTTCCCCTTCGTGCGGTAGTGCGCCGTCATCTTGCCTTAGCCTTGCCGTGGCTGTTTTCGGACTCTCTCGACGTAGATATTGATTCGTGCTACTTCACCGCCTCTCTCCATCATTGTCATGTTCTAATGAAATTCCTTTGCATCCCAGTTGTGCACATTTCAGACAGCACCCTTGTGTGCCTCTGCAGGTCATGCTCCTTCCTTGTGCTTGAATGTGTCGCATGCCGGCAGCCTTCCCGCCAAAGGCTGGTGTTAATTGCGAGTGCCTGATGGAGGACGAGGATTTCGCGTCCAACATCACGCGCGATATTTTCCTGACAATGTGCCAGCCCATGATGGATAAGGTGCCACGTGGAACCGCTCTTTCGCATCCGTCGTGCCGGATTTCAGAGCGGGCTTTCTCTTTCGGAGAGCCACGCCAGGCCCCCCAATCAGTTTGATAATCATTGCCCATGCCACCCCGCCTGGCAGCTCTTTTCGCCCTACCACGCGCACCGACCCCCGCGCGATGCACCCTCCCCGCTGGGCAGCCCAATCCTAACCCCGCATGGGATCCACCCTCCGTCCGTCGATGTCATTCCGCCGAGGTGCAGGCCGTCCTGGACGCAGCGAAGGCCGCGTGCGGATTGACGATGGATCAGATCGACGTCGTGGAGATAGTGGCCGGGGGGCGGTGATGGGGGGGGGCGCAGGGCAAGGTGGGGGGGAGAGAGTGGGAAGAGGGTGGAGGAGGAGGAGGAGGAGGAGGAGGAGGAGGAGGAGAAGGAGGAGGAGGAGGAGGAGGAGCCGGATGAGGAGGACGAAGGAAGGAGGGGGATGACGAGGAGAGGAGAAGAGAGGAGAGAAAGATGTGTAAGAGGAGGAGCAGGAGGAGGAAAAGGAGGAGGAGGAGGAGGTGGAGGAGGAGGTGGAGGAGGAGGAGGAGGAGGACGGCGGGCGGGTGTGATATGGAACAAAAAGACGTAAGGGAGGGAAATTATGAGGGGGAATGATGAGGGGGACCCCAGGATTGGATGGGCAAGCTCGATGCATATGCTTGAATTGTGCGTGTCGGGCTCTTGCCATTGCCCGCTCTTCGCTGATCAGACCGCGGTCTCGCAATTGGATGGGCAGGCTCGCGGGACGCGTGCCCGATTGCATGCATTTGTATTGTCGTTTCTTTGTGAACGGTATGAGATTTTGGTGAACCATTGTTCGTCGTTGTTATTTTTGTCTGAGCCCGTGCCAGGTGGGTGGCGGAACTCGTGTGCCTTGGGTCAAGGAGATGTGCTCCAAGGCGTCCGATTTCGCGATGCTTGGAGTGGCAGTGATCGTGACAGCGACGATGGCGACAAGCATGCCGACAGTGATGACACCGATGACGAGGACGGCGATGTGGCCTCTCTTTGTCAAGGTATGGCTAACTCTTCGATTGCTAGCCTCATCCTACTGCGTTGCCTCTCGACATCTACTCTCGGCGGCTAGGAGCTGACTGGCTCGTCCAATCACACGGTAGTTTTGACACAGGCCGCACCCGTAGAAACCGTTTGGATCAGGGTGTTTAAAATCGGTGGGCAATTGTTACCGCCACCTCTGCCTCCTGAGCGTACTTGGTGCTCTGTGCAGGCAGGTTCAGGGTTTGGGGAATGAGTAGCTGCTTCCTTGGGTACACAGGGCCCCACGCAGTGCTTCACATCAGGCAGCTGTGTGTGTGTGTGTGTCAGTCCTTAATGGGATCGCGCTGTTGGCGTCGTTCTTGAGGATTGTGTCGGTATCGCGAGTCGGGATCGTGCCATCGTCGTGCGTCAACGTGCGCCGTGCGCATGGTCTTCAGTTCTGGACTTCATCATTCTTCTCGTCCACCCCCTGTGCAGACTAGCACTGCGCGATAGCGGTGCGCGCCCAAGCCCTGGGAATCGGGACGCAGACCCCGCCCCTTCCTCCCATCCACCCTCCTCCCCTCCCCTCCCTGCCTCCCTTCTGCGTCCTGCCTCCCCTCTTTCCGCTGCCCCTCCCTCCCCCTTCCCCCCTCTCTCCTTCTCCTCCCTCCCGCCTCCTCCTCTTTCACGTGGACGTCCCAGGGCCAGGGCGAGCACCTGGAGGGTGGCTGGGAGGCTGGAGGCCAGCTTGCGGACCAGTGCTTCTGCCCCGCATGGTGGAGGGCGAGCGGCGTTAGAACTGCATGGCAGGAGTCTTCGTTGGCATCATCCGCAAGAAACCCAGAGAGGTAGGAATCTCCGCCGTCGGCGGCACGGGCTCCATGTACACGTCCTCTGGCTTGGACGAGGTCAAGTTCGCAAACCTCACCGAGACGTTCCTGACGGACGACCTGCCGCTGGTCATGCCCGCGCTGTTCCTTGCAGGGGAGCCACTCCCGCTTTGGTGGACCACTGACTTCATTCTCGCCTCGCCCGAGGGCACGCGGGCACGCATGCTGAGGAGGAGAAGTGGGCCGTGGGAGAGTTCAATTGCTCGTGCGTCGGCATATCCAAGTGCCTCGCGGCGTACTGTGAGGATGACACTCCAGAGACCAAGTTTACAGGCATCACGGGTGAGCACCCCGAGGGCAAAGTTCACTGGCAAGTTCAGGAGCTTGGTCACCTTGTTTCACGTCTTCCCGGCGGTGGGAGGTGCTGCCCTGGGCTCGGCCATGTGCATGAAACCTTCAGCGGCAAGGGTGACGACGGTATTTACCGCACTGCCCCCCGCCAAGACTTACAGCAGCGTCATGCGGAAGATCCTGGCAGATGCAACCTTCGAGTGCTTTTCGCGTTTGCTCGTTGATCATGTCAGTGTGATGGCCGCTCAGATATTGCCCTGCTTCATGTGCTTCTCGACCATTCTGACGCAGATTGATTCGTGGACAGCATGGGCCGATGGTGGCGCCAGGTCGCCCCACCCACTCGATGCAGCTTCAGTTGTGTCCCGAGCCAGTTGCCTTTGTTGCACGCGCGTGATGTTGTTGCGCGCGATTGTGCTGCCCGCTTCGCGGGCCTGCCGCTGCATGGATGACCTTTCCTCTTCTCTTCCCCTCCCGCCTTCATCCTCTGCGGTCATCCGTCGTCCCCAACGTACGCTGCAGCCGAGTATGTGTGTACGTGCGTGCATATCCACGTGCTCCCACAGACTCATCTCTCTCTCTCTCTCTTTCTATGTGTCCGAAGGGCTTCGTCCTCTGGCGCCGCT